AAGGTTGTCTGTCTGTTAATGTTTTCCTCCTTTTATTTTTAAAATAAAAAAAAAGAAAAAGAAAATATGTGGTTTCATTGTATTCTTATAGCTGGTCACCACTGATCATATAGCTTCCATTTTCAAGGTTGATGATCACATCATCTATTTTTTTTCTTTTTTTTTTTTTCTGGTTCCAGGAATCGAATTCACGATCTTGTGCTTGCCAGGCAGGTGCTGTGCTGCTGTGTAAATCCCCAGCCCCTGACATCATCATTTTTTTTGTTTGGTTTTTGGTTTTTCTCCTCTCCGGGAACCAAACTCACGTCCTTGTGCTTGCCAGGCAGGCGCTTTTGCCGCTGAGCTAAATCCCCAGCCCCACTCCCCCGACATCATCTATTTTAAAAGAAAATAATAGTGAGAGTGTTTTGTCTTCTTAAAAATTATATAATTTTCTTATTTTACTTTAACTGTATTTAATAATGTATTCTAGAATAATATTGAAGATTAGAATGAATAGTGGGCTCTGCATCTACCTATCTCTTAATTGGAAATATGTTTAATATTTGACTATTAAATGTGGGCCTGGGCATAGATTTCGTGTACATACATTGTATCAGTTCATAACATTTTTCTTTTTCTTTTTCTTTTGTTTTGTTTTTGGCTTTTCTCCGGTACCAGGAACCGAACTCACGACCTTGCACTTGCCAGGCAGGTGAACATTTTTCTTTTTCCTGTCAATCTTCAACAATAGGACTGGTAGTTAAATTTCCTTTCTATTGTTTTTTCTGTGCCTTCAATATATCTATAAAGTGTTTCCATCATTAGTAGAGTAAATTATATTAATCCTTTCTCTATGTTGAACTATTTTTGGATAATTTGTTTAAACACTAGTCTGCCATCAATTTTTTAAAAAAATCCTATTTCTGCTATTTCTATTTCAGCTTCTTTCCCTTCTCCTATCTCAATCTCTCTTTACATCTGCATCCATGTATCACACACATGCATACACACACACACACACACACACACACACACTGTTCCTTTCTATTATCAATTTTCAGTGATATTCACAAAACTAATGGGATAATTTTCCGTGTTTTTCTATGTACTTGCAAGTATTTTTTTACTGGTGCATTAGTGATACACAATAATGCGATTCCTTTTGGTACATTGGCACATGCGTATAACGTATTTTGATTATTTCCTTCCCCATTGCCCCTCTCTTTCCTCCTGCTTCCCCAGCCTCCTCCTGTTCCCCAATCTCCTCCTGTTCCCCAACCTCCTTCTCTTCCCCATCGCTGAAGGACTACTTTCTAGCTTTCTGTCAACTCTTCTTAATCAATTGATTGTAGTTCTAGGTTGATTGTGTAAGAGAACACATGCAATACTTAACCGAGGCGGGCTTATTTTGCTTAACTTGAGGTCCCCAAACAGCCATTTGCCTGAAAAAGACATGAGTCTGCTTTTGTTTATGGCTGAATAATGCTTGCATATATGCATAATACTTATATATACATATTATAATGCATGTATTACATGTATTATAATCATATACAATAATAAATGTGATATATGTCCCATGTTCCTTGTCCATTTATGTGTTGATGTGTTTCCACAGCTAGCTGTTGTGAACTGTGCTGCTGTAAAGTGGGGATGCGTGTATCACTATAATATGCTGTCTTTTAATTCTTTGGAAATATAATTCTCTGGAAGTATACCGATGAGTGGTCAAGGTGGATCAAATAATACGGTGTTTAGTTTTTTTGAGATGTAATTTTAGCTTTCTGAGGCACCTCCATGCTGATTTCCATAGTGACTGTGCTAATTAACGTTCCCACCCACTGGGTAGAGCTCCACCCACCCCAGCACCCTGGCTACATGGTTCTTTCCACTCCCGGGGACAGCCATGCTGACTGGGGTGAGGTGGATGCCCCAGGTAATTTTCACTTCTGTTCCCCTAATGCTAAAGATGTCAAACATTTTTTCATTTGCTTCTTGGCCATTTTGTACTTGGGTGTTTTCTATGACGCTGCCTAAAAACTGTCATTTTTCCTCTTTGTGTTCTGTTCCTTTATGTTACTCTTATTACTGTTTGGCTATAGGGTTGTTCTAGATTCTTGAGTTGTAAATGTTGCTTATTTATTTCTCTTTCTTATTTTTCCATATTGTACTTGTCTATTTATATATTTTTCACTCAGTGATATATTGCTTTTAACTGCAAGAGGGTGTGTGTGTGTGTATGCATGTGATTTCTCATTGTTACATCTAAAGGAGTTTAAAATTCAGTTTAATTCTTTAAAAATCCCAATAATTACTTAGAAACACTTTCTTTTTTTATAAGTGGATATTTTAAAAGGTTGATTTATACTTTTATTCCCTGCTGTCTAAAAATATGACCTATATGGTTTACTTATTAGAATTTATCGAGCCTTATTTTAATTCCTTAAACATGGTTAATTTTTTTTTTTTTTATACTGGGAAGCAAACTCAGGACCTTGTGCTTGCCAGGCAGGTGCTGTGCGACTGAGCTATCTCCCCAGCCCTAACATGGTTAATTTTGTTAATGGCTACACAGACACTCAAATAAAATGTATATCTATTTGTTGAGCCCAGAGTTTTATTTATTCATAATTTATTTACAATTATATAAACATGAAATCAACATCCTATACATCATTTAAACTTTATATACCAGGCATTTTCAAAGCTCTTCTGCAAAGGGCCAGAATAGTAATAATGTGAGGTGCTCAGGATGATCAGAACCATGCAGGAAAGCAGCAGTAGATGGGAGGGAAGTGGGCACTGACTCATGGACATTAGGTTGGTGGTGCTTGCTCTATATTCTTATTATTTAAAAAAAATTTCCTGACAGTAACTGAGAGGAGCTAGAGTACATTATACTCTAACAACAATGCTATTGAAACTAAAAGCACAGCAGCATGGTTCAAAGCTTTCTTCAGAGGCTGCTAGTACTTGTAAGTCGGGCAAGGAAGGTTTGACAGCTACGTGTCTAGCAGCTGCCGGTGGGCACTTGAGAGCAGTGGTTATTTTGTGAGATGACCAGGGAGAAATAGAGACCAGAGATCAAGAGATCTTGTCAGATTTTTCTTCTAGTAGCTGTTTTTTAAATACTGTCTGTCTCCAGTTTTAGAGTCACACCTGAAAGGTTAATAGTTAGAACTGCATTTTCTGGTCGCTTATGTGTGACTTAGCATTTGTTTGAGTTTTGATATGTCAGTAAGATTTTTTCCTTCTCTCTACAGTGAGGTTCAAGAGCTGAAGGAATCTCCAACGCCTCCTAAAACCGAAGCAGCTGCTCAGTTGGATGAGCTCATGTCCCACCTGAGCAATGTGCAGGCCGAGGTGAGTAGGGGGTGACCAGAGACTGCCCAGGGCCAAAGGCACGCCAGTGTATCTTTGTGCCCTGCACTCCTCAGCTCAGGAATTTCAAGTGACTGAATTTAACTCAGTGGAGGAATTCAGCTTTGCACCGTGTGTCATTTGGACACAGAAGATAATATGATACAGTCCTCCATCCCAAGTAGGTTAAAATGTGCTCGGGAAATTGAGGCATAAGCCTCTGTGACGTTTATAGGGTATAGGGCAGGGAGCTTGCCAGAATACACAGAGCAAACATTAAGGTGTGAGAGATCTTATGCAGATTTCAGCAGAGAGGTGGGGAGGGAGTGGGGATGCGGAAGGTCTGAGGAATGCATAGGTTTGAACATAGCAGTAAGAGAGGTCCTTTTAGTTGGACAGAGCCCTGAGCCCTGTGATGAGAAGGACTGTCACAGAGACCTGGCCCTGGCCGAGCGGGACAGAGGAAGCTGATGGGCAAGTCGAGACCAAGCTAGGAAGGACAAAGGAGGGCGCACAGGCGCACGGAGCCCAGGCTGAGACACAGTCGGCTTCCTGGCCTTGGCATCTGGGCACAGACGACAAGCTCACAGGCCCTGGCAGGGAATGGAAATCAGATAAGTGAGCTTAAGGATTTATCAAGGAAATACGATCTCAATCTGATGGGAAGATCTGATTTGCATTCATGAACTACGAAGTAACTGTAAGGCAGAATATAAAAGCGTCCGTGACCGGGGGAGGCAAGAACCTCATCTTTGTGGCTTGTCTCCAGTCTCCCAGCATCTTGCACGGTGAGTCACACTCGAGGAAGAAGTGAGTAAACACAAGCACGTCCTCCTCATGGCTCCTGTGCTTCGCTTAGCTCACGTCTACAGTAAAGCTGGGTGAACTGGTCATTGTGCTGTGTATCTGAAAGCGGTAGAAAAAATTTACACGGTGAAATTTACATTGTGCTTTCTAATTGATTCAGCATGTATCCTGGCTTTGTTCAGTCCTAACGTAACGTATCTTTCTGTATCTTTCTTTAAAAAAGTGAATATTACGTAACAGAGGAGAAAGAAATCTGTGAGAGGGTCCGAATTGCTTGAGAGATAAGGATTCTGAGGGGTGAGGTGTGTGGTTTACTCCAGGCAGGAAGGTGGGTGAGTAGAGCCGGAAGGCAGACTGTAGCAGATCACCTTCAGGGTGGTGCGCCTCCCCTTAAACAGAGAGGCCTTGTACCGCATAACAAAAGGCTGGCTGCGGAGGGGAAGCAAGGGCAGTGGGCAGAGACCGAGCTTGTCCCTGCAGTGTGGAGGAGGTGCAGATCCCGTGTGGCTTTCTGCTCGGCGGAGCGCTGGGTCACTGGGTCGCTGGCAGCACAGCCCCGCCGGGACAGCGCGGAAGGAGCTGGAATGAGGACGTGAAGCTCTGGAGGATGAGTTAGGCAGCTTTGTTTTGTGACCTGATGATCCTCCTTTGAACGGCTTGTAATAATAATCACTTGGAGTTCTGCTCGGAGAAGTCCAGTCCCCCAGCAAGTCTTATCTGAACACTTGCCCTCGCCTCCCCCACAACGCTGGCCTAAGTCCTTACGTAGGGGTCTCGCTGATCCGTCAGTGGCTCGGGTCACCTCGGAATACACCCCAGCTGTTACCAAGAGGCCCAGTGTGATCCCTGCCTTCCGCCTCAGTGTCCTGGCTCGTTCCCTCTGCCCCAGTCCCATGGACGTCTTGGCTGCTGCAATGCACCAAACCATTTCCGTTCTCAGGGCCTTTTCTCCCCCTGCAATACTTTTCCCACAAATAACAATGTGTTTGGGTCTCCAGGTGTCACTCATAGACCTGCTCAAATATCTCTTCTTCAGAGGGGCCTGTTCTGCTCGCCCCCACCTAAATCCATTCTCCCTCACCCTCCTCCCTCTCCTCTTCTGTCTTCATATAGAAGGCACAGTTTTCTGTCCCTGACATTGCCCCATGTTTGTTTAATTGTTTATGGCCTATCACCCACAGAAAGCAAATTCCATCAGAGGAGAAACTTGGTCTTGGCTTTATTCCTGGTACCTAAAGTGGTGACTGGCACAGACCAGGTGTTCAACTAATGTGGAAGAATAACTGAATAAAAGGAAGATATGACTAAATGTCAGTGGGGGGGTGGGGATTTAGCTCAGTGCTGCAGCCCATGCCTGGCAAGAGTGAGGTCCTAAGTTCGATGCCCGGTAGAAAAAAGAACAAAACAAACAAAGAAAGAAAGAACCAAAAATGTCACTGAAAGTCTTTATAAGAGGTAAAAAGTTATCACCTTTGTAAACTCAATTTCTACAAAGAGAAATGTGGGTTAAGTTTCACTTGGGGTGAGGCATTTATAATGCAAAGGAAGTGAAAGAACTTTTGTGGGTGTTAAAATGTTGGATTCCTCCAGTGCTTTGGAGGAAGGTGGGAAGACCAGGGGCCGGGCCTGCAGTGGTGAGCCTGTGGGGTTGTCTGTTCTCGCTGCCAGTGAGAATAAATGAGCATGAAGGCCGATCTTTCCTTACCACAGATTACAGTGAAAGCAGATACCAGCAAGAAACATGTACCAGACAAGCAGGATCACAAAGTCTCCCTGGACTCGATGCTTGGAGGTTTGGAGCAGGAACTGCAGGACCTCGGCATCGCCACAGTGCCCAAGGGCCACTGTGCTTCTTGCCAGAAGCCCATTGCAGGGAAGGTGGGACGAGCCTAGGTGCTCATGCTGCAGCATCTGTGTCTGTGTTTGTCTCAGGCCTATGAAGGAAAGCTCATCACATATTGTAAGGCATTTCAATAATCATTAATAATCACTGACCATTCACAGTGCTCTGGGCAGTAACCCAAGTGCTAGCCCTAACTCTAACCAGAACCCTAACCCTAACCATAACCCGAACCCGAACCACTTAATCCTAATACTGACCCTAACTCCAATCCTAACCATGCACAGTGCTCTGGGTTAATCCAACCGCTAACCCTAACCCAAACCCTCAAACTATAACCTTAACCCTAAACCTAATCCCTTAACCCCTAACCCTAACCCTCTAGCCCCCTAACCCTAACCCTCTAG